TATTTAAATAAGCTTGAGGGAAATAATAGCGGTGAGTCCTCTCAAACAACGGAACCTAACACTGAAGCTAGGTTCTACAAGGGCCCAGGCCAGTATGTGGATGTCTGGAGGGAACATCTGATTGAAAATATGGGTATAATGTATCTCTTTAGTAACATTGTTTACTTCATCTTTTTATGTTAAAATCCTTTGAATTGTTGCCTCTTGAAAAGTGAGAATCAGGTCAAAAGAAATGACCTGTGAAATTACAGATAGATACAAATAATCTCAATATATGGAATGTACACCCAGAATATCCTGGTAATGCTTGCTTTAAGAAATGGTATACCGGTTTTTACTTGCCAAAAGACACTGACTCCTTTATTTTCCTCCACCAATGATAGTCGAATGTCTGTCTCCTTCCTACTAGTCAAGTCTTGGTTAGAACATCAAAGAATTTCTCTTCAATGGAATTGTTTATATTTTCCTGACTCACAAAGCCCTGGTATCCCCAGTCCAGATAAGCTATTATTAGGAATGTCTTTGGTCATGAGCATTGAAATCAAATGCATGCTCAGGTTTTACAGCTCCTGAATAATTTACTCTAATATTTGAGTCCTTGTTGTTGGCTGTCATTGACCTGTTCCTTCTTAAGTCTATGCACCTCCTGCTCTAGTTCTTGTACTCTTCTTAGGAGGTTTTCAGTCTAATTTCGGTCTTTGTCAATTTCATCCATGATATGACAACCTCAGGAATAAGCAAATCGTATAGGTCCACTCCATCTTCTGGTCATTAATCATACCTGTAGCCAATTCTCTGATTGGATTGTTCTGTGCCTTTATACTGTTGAATATGGAGAGTTCTTTACATATTCTAGATACAATACCTCTGTCAGATATGTTATTCTCATTTTCTCGTAGTCTACAGCACATGTTTTCATCCTCCCTACAGGGCCTTTCACAGATCAAAAGTTGTTAATTTTGATGAAATCTACTTTATCAAATTTCTTCTTTCATGAATCGTGCTTTTGATATCAAGTCTAAGAACTCTTCACTTGGCCTTAGAGACCAAATATTTTCTCTACAATTTTATACTTTTACATTTTACATTTCAATCTGCCATCCATTCTAAGTTACTTTTTATATAGGGTATGAGATTTGTGACAAGGTTCATTTTTTTGAATATGGATGTCTAATTTCTCCAGGATCAGTTGTTAAAAATACTATTGTTCCTCCAATGAAATGCTTTTGCATTTTTGACAAAAATAGTCAGGCATATTGGTTTAGGTCTATTTTTTAGTTCTCTATTCTGTTTCATTGACCTATGTGTCCATCACTTGGCAAACACTATGCTCTCTTCATTACTCTGGCTATATATTAAGCCTTAATATGAAGTAGGGTGATTCTTCCTGCTTTATTCTTGTGCTGTCTTTGTAGTTTTGCTTGCAAGGTGATATTGAACTCATAAAATGAGATGCAAAATGTCCTGTTCTCTTCAATTTTGTGATAGAAATTGTAAGTTGGCACTAACTCTTTTTTAAGTATTTGGTAGAATGTTCCAATGAAACCATATAGGCCTAAGTATTTCTATTTTAAAAATTCATTGTATTAGTCCATTTTGACACTGCTGATAAAGACATACCTGATATGGTTTGACTGTGTCTCCACCCAAATTTCAACTTGAACTGTATCTTCTGGACTTCCCACATGTTATGGCAGGGACCCAGGGGTAGGTAATTGAATCATGGGGGCCGGTCTTTCCTGTGCTATTCTCATGGTAGTGAATAAGTCTCATGAGATCACATGGGTTTATCAAGGGTTTCCACTTTTGCTTCTTCCTCAGGTTTTTCTCTTGCTGCCACCATGTAAGAAGTGCCTTTTACCTCTCACCATGATTCTGAGGCCTCCCCAGTCATACGGAACCGTAAGTCTAATTAAACATCTTTTTATTCCAGCCTCAGGTAAATGAATATTTAACAAACTGTGGTACATCTATACCACAGAATATTACTTACCAATCAAATAAACAAACAAACAAAAACAACTATGATGTACACAGCAACTTGAATGGGTCTCAAGATATTTATTCTGATTAAAAAAAATTATCTCAAAAGTTTACATAGTGTATTATTCAATTTATGTGACATTCCTATAATGATAAAATTAGAAAGATGAAGAACAATTTACTGAGTTCCAGGGATGGGGAAGGGGAAGAAGTGGCTGTGTTTGTAAGTGGTTAGTGTGAGGGTTCTTCATGATGTCGATTTTGTGTATCCTGACTATAGTGGTAGTTATGAAAAATCCTATAGGTGATAAAATTACATAGAACATAACACACACATACCTGCACACACATTTGTGCATGTAAAACTAGTGAAATCTGAATGAGGTAAATGGATTTTATTGATGTTGATCTATTAATGTGATACTGTACTATGTTTATAGCAGACATTACCATCAGGAGAATCTGAGTGAAGGGTATAAGGCGTCTCTCTATTTCTCCCAGTTGCCTGTAAATCTACAATTATCATGAAAAAATAAAATTTAAGTTAGTTTGGGGTATCATTTTAGTGCTGATAAACTCTCGATAAAATAATAAAAACTAACATAAAAAAGAATATAATACTGATGTATGAAGCAACATTAATGATACTCAAAATTATGCTGAATGGAAGAAGCTAGATAAAATTAAGTACATAAGCTGATCCCATTAACCTGAAACTCTAGAATTGTAAACTAACCTGTAGAGACAGAAGGCAGATCAGTGATTGGGAATTGGGAAGAAGTGGGAAGAAAAAACACAAGGTGGCAAAAAACAAAACAAAACAAAAAAAACAAAAAAAGAAAAGAAAACACCCAATGTGGTGATGGATAATGTTCTTATTTTAATTGTGGTGATGGTTTCACAGGTGTATATGTGTCAACTCTAATTAATTGTATATTATAGTCAGTTATATCTCAATAAAGCTGTTTAAAATAAAACCAAAAGATGCCAGACACTAGGACCAAAGTGTGAAGTATTTGAAGAAAAAAAGTGTTCTACCTTTGACATAATTAGTGTATTTAAAACCAAATGGGAAATGCTTTTTAATGCCCCCTCCTCAGTAGAACATATTTTCAGTAATAATCATAAATTAAAACAAGAAATAATAAGGATTAATAAAGAAATATGGTGTGTTTCTAGTGAGCATTATATATATATGTATTAGTAAAAGTAAAATATAAAATGATATTTTAAGAAAACTAAAAATCATGCAAAATGGACAAATTAGTCAATTAATTATCCAAATATGTAACATTTTATTTCCTTGAATTGGTCTGTAGTTTTAAAATAACTATTAAACAATTAAAGAAGAATAAATTTTACTTTTAAAGATATAGTTCAAATTTACAAAGTATTTTTTGTTTAAATGAAGTAAAGATTTGAACTTCTCAAACATTTATACCTTGTCATTCATACTTTGTTTCATTAACTTAGGCATCATCCAAACAAGTGGTCACGTGGAAAGACAGCACATGAAAAACTCAGATTATTTATTCTTTTATTTTAAAATCAATTGCTGTACTATTATTGATTTAGAAATATTGTTTAAATACTGGTGCATGTGTGTCATGCAGGACCATGGATTATGGCTCAAAGTGCAATGCAAGAAATACCAGATCCTTAGGAGCTTGCTTTAGAAGGAAAAAGCAACTGAGTCAGGTGATATCTGAGGCCAGTGGTATAACAGGAAATTATCTGCATTAATTTCCTTGTAGAATACAATAAGTCTTCATTAAAATATAATGAGAAATTGTGCTGTTTTTAGACCACTCCCATAGACACATGATTAAAACATATTGACCACAGCAATCTTTTAAAAAGTAAACCAACAAAACAAAGTATTTTTGGGAAGGAAAGATAGTTCTAAGAAGCTGGACTAGAAAAAAAAAAGAGTACATACCTTATGATTCCATTCTTATAAACCTCTAGAAAATGGAAACAGATAGTGAACAAATCAGTGGGTCTTTTTTAGAATGATGGTGGAGGTAGGGGCAGGGAAGAATTGCCAAAGGGCATGAGAAAACTTCAGGGGGTAATGGGTTTGTTCACTCTTATAGTTGTGATGGTTTAACAAGTGCAGATGTGACAAAACCCATCAAACTGTATACTTTTTCAGCATATGCAGTTTGTCATATGTCAATTATACTTCAGTAAAGCTGTTGAAAAATGATACTCTCTTTAGGGATAAAAACAACTTTGGAAAAATAAAAATGAAAGATGGAGAGAGAGAGAGAGCTATCTTGTGTTAAAATTCTGTGTAGACAATGCTCTCACTCACTGCCTGCACTAGAGGTAGACTACTCCCATTACCCTGCTCCACCCTAAGCTTCTTAAGAAGGTGAGCTAGTCAGTGTTGGATTTGTGGCATCTAGTAACCATTATTTCAGTCCTTTAGGTGCTGCTGGTAACTTTTAGAGATGTTTGGCCCTTTGAAAGGCATTTGGTTGCTTATATCATAGGGTAGGGTGTATCTCATACCTACCATTATGAGGTAGGTGGCCTGCAGGTTATTTGTCTATTTTTGAGGATAGTACTGCCACCCACACACCTCACCCCATACAGGTTCTGACAATCAATACACTGAAGTCATGCCCCTCTTTCCCCACCAAAACACACACAAGTAGAAACACCAACCCCCTTTACTCTTTGTATATTAAAGTTTTCAGGAAATTTATCTTCAGTGCTTAGTCCTGAGCCAGACCTTATCCCCCAGTTTCCAGCTGTGGACCTATTGGTCTGGCCTCAAACCCCACAGAAGCCACCTCCCTGCCTTCTCACACACACCTCCCTCTTCCCGTCACTCCTTCCTTCCCCACCATCGAAGAACTCACAGAGACATATCCTTTGGATTCAGGTTGATTTTATTTTCATGGTTTTAACCTGTTGATGTAGAATTCACTGTCTGTATATTTGATGACTTTTCAGTGGCAGACCTCTAGAGACATCACAGAGCTGAGGTCTCTCTTCTCCCTTTGAAATTATTGGCTGCTCATGTCATCACTTGAAACGGTGGCGTTCTCCACAGTCTCTTGGTCTTTGTCGGCGTCGTCTTTGTCGGCGTCTTCTTTCTTCATTTTTTCTTTCAGCCGGCGATAGCGACCACGCAGTATTGTTCCTCTAGCTTTCTCAGGTTTTCCTGTAGGGGTGTTAGTTTCAGAGGCTTTTTTGCTGGTGCTCCCTTGAAGGGGTCTTTTCGCCTTCATGGTGGTCTTTAGGCCCTATAGGGAGATCACAGTCAGGCCAGAGGGCATTGGTTTTGGGAAAGAAGGTGGGAAATGCATAGGACTGGGCTTCATGAGAAGGGAGTGAGTTGAGGAGGGGGTTTGTGTGAGGCAAAGAAAGGATAGGAAGGAGTCTTGGGGTGGCGGAATCAGTGGGGCAAAGAGAAGGGGCTTGGGCAGGATCATCTCACCTTAACGCCACATCTGGACCTTCGTTGACAGGGAGTCTTCCCCTTCTTCCTCCCTTTGGTACTTGGGATTGGTGGGGTCTGTTTGTCCACACCTTCATTAGTCTCCTGTGGTTCACTGGTCACCTTTGCCATGCTGAAGTGTCCCAGTGGTCTACTCAGAGCTCTTGATCATCCAATGTATACTGCTCCCAGCACAATGAGGGGCCACACCCTTCAACTTTGATTGGTCAGCAAGGCACTCTCCCAGCCAATGAGAGTTAAGGGACACTAAGACATCACAAAGCACTACTCTTGTCACCTCTATGTGAGAGAGGGGTGGGGAGGTACGTGGGGAGTCTTAGTCATCAGAATGTACCACTCCTGCCACCTCTGTCTTGGGGGGGTGATATAAAGGTAAGGATAGCCTGGTGGTAGAAAAGAGGCTTTTCTGTAACAGCCTCTTCTATGCCTTCCCAACATGAACTACCATCCCTCCTCATATACCCATGTTCAATTGTGGTGGCCCACATAGCAGTTTCCTTTAATCTATTCCCCAAGGCCACACCTACTCATTGGTTTATTCTGCAGTCTCCCTCCCTAAGTCATTAGCTGTTATTTTTGATATTTTACCAAAAATCCCTCTAAAAAAAAAATGGCTATATTTCAATGTCAGTGGAGAAGTGAGTAATTCTACAAACAAAAGACAGTTCCCACAAAAAAAAAAAAAATCTTTCTACCTATCACATTTGGCATTAAAGGCAGCTTATTTTCATTAATTTCTGCTAGCCCTGCAACTGATAGAAAGGGATTAGAATTAACTGTCTATTTATGAAGGTTGCTTTTATCTTTGCTTTTATCCTATTCTTGGACTCTGACCACATTATCATTATTGATTTTTGAAAGGTTATTTCGCTATTTTATTGGATTTTTCTTTCTGTCTTCCTAGTTTCTCTTACTAGTTTGTTTCCCACCAAAAGGCACCTACATGTGACACACCTGATGTGTTTGAATGATTTTCTTTCATATGTTTTTATTCTTGTTAAACATATGGCTTTGTTAAACATGTGCATGTGTGAAAGTGTAGCATTGTACTTAAGCTGCTATATGCATCTCTTCTTCATTGCTTTTAATGTTGCATCGTGCTTGTTCATTTTCTTCCCCCTTTGAGTGTAACCTATGTTGATGCTGTTCCTTACTGCTACCAATGGTGCCGCTATGAGCCTTGTTAGTAGCTCATGACCCTTTGTGGAATTCTGCCTATGTTTCTTTAAGGTGTATGTTCAGGAATAGAATTTCTAGGTAATAGACATACATAATTGTCTTAGTCATTTCAGACTGCTATAAAAGAATCCTATAGACTGGGTAGCTTAAACAATAAACATTTATTTATCACAGCTCTAAAGGTTGGAACAGAAAAATCAGGGTGCCTCTGGTACCAATTTACTGTATTAGTCCATTTTCATGCTGCTCATGAAGACATACCAGAGACTGGGAAATTTAGAAAATAAAGCGGTTTAATAAGCTTACAGTTCCACGTGGCTGGGTGCCTCACATTTATGACGCAAGTTGAAAGGCATGTCTCACATGGTGACAGATAAGAGACTTCTTAAATTACAAATTCATTCTCTTTGTTAGTTATAGGACAAATTATATCACCTATATAATTTTATTAAATTTATTTTTGGCAGTTTGTGTTTTTTTTTTAAGGAATTGATCAATTTTTTCTATATTTTTGTATTTATGAGAATACAGTTGTTCACAGTATTCTCTTATTATCTATTTAATACCTGCAGAATCTGTAATGCTATTTCCTGTTTCATCCCTGATATTGTTTATTTGTTGTCTTCTTTTTTTTTAAGCTGTCAGTTGTGCTAAAGTTTTACCAATTTTGTTGACGGTTTTAAAGAAATAGCTTTTGGTTCAACTGATTTTCCTATTTTATTCCTGCTTTTCATTTCATTGATTTTTGTTTTTATCTTTATGATTTACTTCTTCTGTTTGCTTCAGGTTTATTATTCTCTTCATTTTCTATATTCTTTAGGTAAGAAATTAGATCTCCAATTTGAGACATTTCCTTGTTTCTAATGTTAGCATTTAATGGTATAAATTTCTCTCTCAATACAACTTTAGCTGTATTCCACCTGTTTTAACATGTATATTTTCATTTTTATGTAGTTCACATATTTTTATTTCCCTTGAGACTACTTCTTCACCCATTAATTATTATAAATTATTTAGAAATGCATAATTTAATTTCCAATTGTTTAGTTTTTTGTATTTCATTATAGTTGCTACTTTGATTCCATTTTGGTCATAGAATGTGTTGTCTACACAACACATTTCAATTAATTATTTATCAACAATTTCAATTATTTTAAATTTGGTAAGGCTTGTTTTATAGTCCATCACCTGATCTATCTTGGTACATGTTCTGTGGACACAGGAAACAAATATATATTCTGCTGTTGTTCAAGGAACTGTTCTATATGTGTCAATTAGATACTGTTGATTGTTGCATTGTTCAGTTATTCTATTCTTGAGGATATTATGTCTACTACAAGTTCTGTCAGTTGCTGAGCGTTTAAATCCAACTGTAATTGTAAATAAGTCTATTTCTTCATGCATCTCTGTTAGTTTTTGCTTCATGTATTTGAAAGCTCTATTGTTTGGTTGCTATGCATTCAGTATAGGTATATATTTGTGGTGGATTGATACTGGTATAATCATGTAAAGTCCTTCTTTGCCTTTATTAATTGTCTTTGCTGTGATATTTACTTTATGTCATATTAATATAACTATTCCTACTTTTTATTTTTAATCGTGGTAAAATACACCTAACATCAAATTTCTATCTGAACCAATTTTTATTGTATAGTATTGTACAGTTGTGTTAAGTATATTCACACAACGAATCCAAGAACTGTTGTCGTATTGCAAAACTGAAACTCTATTCCCATTACACAACTCCTCAATTCCTCCTCTTCTAGACCCTGACAACCACCATTCTACTTTTTGTCTCTTTGAATTTAACTATTCTAGCTACCTTGCATAATTATAATTTTACAGTATTTGTCTTTTGGTGACTGGCTTATTTTATCTATCATAATGCTCTCAAGGTTCATTTATGTATAATGCCAGAATTTTATTCTTTGAAAAGGCTGAGTAATATTTTATTGTATGTATATACTTCAATTTGTCTATCCATTGATGAACCCCTGGATGCTTCTATTTTTTGCTTATTGTGAGTCAGGTTGCTATGAACATGGGTGTACTGATGTATCTTCAAGACTCTGCTTTTAATTATGTTGAGTATATACCCAGAAGAGGAATTGCTGGCTCATGTGAGAATTCTGTTTTTACTTTTTGAGGAACTACCATACCATTTTTCATAGTTGCCACACCATTTTACATTACTACCAACAATGCACAAAAGTTCCCCTTTTTCTACTTCTTCGCCAGGACTTTTTATTTTCTGTTACTTTGGTAGTAACCATCCTAATGTTTATAAAATGGTATCTCATTGTGATTTTTATTTGTATTTACTTAATAATTCGTACTGTTCAGAATCCTTTAATGTGTTTATTGGTTGCTTGTATATTTTCTTTCCAGAAATGTCTATTTAATTCCTTTGCCTGTTTTAAGTTAGGTTGTATTTCATCGTTAAGTTGTAGTTCTTTTCATATTCTGGATATTAACCCCTCATCAATTATATGCTTTGCAAATTTTTCCCCTATACAGCAGGTTGTCTTTCACTCTGTTGATTGTGTTCCTTGATACACTTAAGATTCTTAACTGTCATACACTCAAATGTATCTATTTTTTTTGTTGTTGTCCATTATTTTTGTGGAATAGCAAAAAAAAAAAAAATCATATCTAATAGCAGGAAGCTTTTCTTCTATCTTTTCTTCTAAGGGGTTTACAGTTTTAGCACACATATTTAAATCTTTCATCAATTTTCAGTTGATTTTTGTATATAGTAAGGGTTCAATTTCATTCTTCTGCATGTGAATATCCAACTTCCTCAACGTCATTTATTGAAAAGACTGTCTGTCCCCATTAAGTGGTCTTAGCACCCTTGTCAAAAATAACTTGACTGTATATATGAAAATTTATATCTGGCCTTTCTATTCCATTTCACTGGTCTATAAGACTGCCTCTATGCCAATACCACACTGTTAAATTACTATAGCTCTGTAATAAGTTTTAACATGAGGAAGTGTGACACCTCCAGCTCTGTTTTTCTCAAAATTGGTTTAACTATTAAGGATCCCTTTAGATTCCATATAAATTTTAGAATAAATTTGGTATTTAAAAAATCATTGGAAAATTTGATAGGAATTACACTAAATTTGTAGATCTCTTTTGCTGGCATTGCCATCTTAACAACATTAATTATTCAACTCATGAATATGAATGTCTTTCCATTTATTTGTGTCTTCCTTAATTTTGGGGGTCAATATTTTGCAGTTTTCAGTGTACAAGTATTTTGCCTCCTTGGTGAAGTTTATTTCTAAGTATTTTTTTCACGCTTTTATAAAATGGAATTGTTTCCTTAATTTCTTTTCCTTATTGTGTATTATTCGCATAGAGAAATGCACCTAATTTTTTTAAGCTGATTTTATGTTCTGCGACTTCACTGAATTTGTTGATTCATTCTAAAAGAGTTTTTGTGTGCATTTTTAATGTTCTCCATATACAAGATCGTGTAGTCTTAGAAGAAAGATACCCTTACTTTTTCTTTTCCCATTTGGATACCTTTCCTTTCTTCTTCTTATCCAATTGTTAGTCACTCTTGCTTTTTAAAATAAATATATTCAAGGCATATATTTTCCATTGTTTTACTTTCATTCTATCAATGTCACATAGTGTGTTTATTTTAGACAGCATAATTTTTTTTTCTTTGATACAGACGTGAGATTCTTTCGCTCACGCTGGAGTGCACTGTCTCGATCTCAGCTCACTGCAGCCTTCCCCTCCTGGGTTCAGGCAATTTTCCTGCCTCAGCCTCTCAAATAGCTGAGACTACAAGCACCCACAACCATGCCTGGTTAATTTTTGTATTTTTAGTAGAGATAGAGTTTCACCATGCTGGCCAGCCTGGTCTCGAACTCTTGACCTCAAGTGATCTGCCTGCCTTGGCCTCCCAAAGTGCTGGGATTACAGGCATGAGCTAATGTGTTAGGCCAGACAGCATATTGATGAACCATTTTTCATCCACACAATTAGTTTATGTCTTTTAATTACTATACAAA